TCTATTCTATTCTATTCTATTCTATTCTATTCTATTCTATTCTATTCCAAACAATCCTGTAACAGGCAGGGCAAATGTTCTGATCACCACCCCATAAAAAGGGCCATGTAGTCAGAAAGATAAAAAGTGATCCTGTTTGCTAAGAAAATGTAACTCCGGGAGCCTTTCAAGGGGAAGAAAAGAAACAAAGACCAGTTGGATGGCAAAACATGGTTGTCTAAGTTACAGTTTGTCCACTGGAACAATGACAGAGCCCAAGCCGATGGCTGAAGGGAATGGATGGCAGGGGGAGGGAAAGGAAAGCCCCCTTCATCACTCTGCTTACAAATAGATGCATGCTACAAGTCACCGTTGTCCCACATACCTTTGGTTGCCAGTAGCTTCTTCTGTTCGTAGTCAAATGCCTAGAAATGAAACCCAAAGAAGGCCACTTAATCACTGACCTTGCTAAATGCCATGCCTACACTCTGCTCCACAAGCAACAAAGATTTTGAACAGGATCCATCACTTTGTCTCGGAGGAACCCTTTGAATCACCCAACAATGTGCCAGGAGTCCAATGAACCTTTGATATACTTAAAACTAGCTAATTGGGGCTGCCATGTCCACTGAGGAGAAACCTGGGAGCACCAGCAATCCATTTCAAAGTCTTGGGAATGTTCAGAGGATCGCCTCACTAGAAGAGCCACACATAAATCTCTGATGCTGGTTGGTGTAAGTGCAGAGGTCTCCAAACTTGGCAACTTTAAGACTGGTGGACTTCAACTCCCAGAATTCTCCAGTCAGCTATGGTGGCTGGAGAATTCTGGGAGTTGAAGTCCACCAGTCTTAAAGTTGCCAAGTTTGGGGACCTCTGTGTTAGTGCAACATGGAGACTGCTTTAGCAATAGAAGGGTATATGTGTAGCACAGATTTGAACTGTGTGGTCCTTGGTGCTCTCTGAACTTGATTGCTTTCTTGCAGACATTTCATTACCCGACAAGTTAACATCATCAGTATGAGAAGAGAGTGGGGTTTACTCTCAGCAATCAACATCAAGATAAGCAAGGATTAACACCAGGATGAATATCAGTCTAACAATCGAGCAGTAAAATAATAGCCTGATCAAAGAAGTGCCGAGAATATCACACCAACATTGGCAAGGCAAATCAATATAATGATAGCACTTAGACTTATATGCTGCTTCACAGTGCTTTACAGCCCTTTCTAAGCAGTTTACAGAGTCAGCTTATTGCCCCCCAACAATCTGGGTCCTCATTTGACCCACCTAAGAAGGAGGGAAGGTTGAGCCTGGTGGGTTTCGAACTGTCAAATTGCAGGCAGCCTGCAGTACTGCATCTGAACCGCGCCATGGCGGCTCATGATGTTACTAGTTGGGTTATGAAACGGCTACAAGAAAACAATGAAGCTCAGGCACAACTCCCACACAGCGCTTCACAGAGTGGAAATCCTTCCTTGGAGGAGTCAATACCTGCATGTCCACATATGTTGACTGGGGGCCCAGGTGTGCTCTTTCCGAGTTCTGCTGTGCCGCGGCCGCCCTCTCCGCTGCCCTTTCACTTCCGGGTGCCTTTTTGTCAGCCACCGTGGCCTCCGAAGCGCTCAGCTCAGAATCCGAAAGCAACCTCTCCCCCGCGCTACAGAAAGACAGGTGTTCTTTTTAAAAGGAGATGGGAACTGATGAATTACGCTTTGGACGATTAGACAGGAGAGACTATAGAAAGAAGAGGGCCACGGGGGAACTTTGGAGAAAGAGGTAAATTTATAATGGTGGTCATAAATATTGTAGAAAAGATTGGGAGCCTTTTCTTCTTTCCTCTTCTTCCCTTTCCTTCCTATTTCTTTTCCTTTCCCTTCCTCTTTCCTTCCTCTTTCCTTTCCCCTCTCCCTTCCCTTCCCCCTTTCCCTTCCTTTCCTTTCCCTTCCTCTTTCCTTCCCCTTTCCTTTCCTCTTTCCTTTCCCTTCCCCTTTCCTTCCCCTTTCCTTCCCTTTCTCCCTTCCTTTCCTTTCCCCTTTCCTTTCCCTTCCTCTTTCTTTTCTTTTCCCTTCCTCTTTCCTTCCATTTCCCTTCCTCTTTCCTTTCATCTCCCTTTCCCTCCTCTTTCCTTTCTCTTTCCCTTCCCCTCTCCCCTCCCTTCCCCTTCTTCCTTCCTTTCCCTTCCCTTCCCCTTTCCTTTCCCCTCTCCCCTCCCCTCCCTCCCTTTCTCCCTTCCTTTCCTTTCCCTTCATTAAACTTAGTTTAAAAGATTATGGATAATTTCATTTCCTGGGCCACACATCTTGGGTACCTCTTAAGTATCTTTTCTCTCTTTTTCTTTTTGTACAAAAAGCATTAAGATTACAGTTGTCTTCTCCACAGCTTGATTCCCAGGCAATGGGAAGCCCCTCCGGGAACCAACACTACTGACGAGTGTTTCTCAACTGTAGCAACTTGAAGAGATGTGGACGTCAACTTCCAGAATTCCTAGCCAGCAAAGCCAATGTTTTTTTTTTCAAGGTTGACAAAAATACTGCTATGGACTCTCCTTCTTCTCTCCAGAATCTCCTCATAAGGGCAAATTCAGGGCCTTCCAACCTGCTTCTCTACTTCAGGTGACTGCTAATGCTGCCATTACAGCTAAAGAGGGGAGACACTCTCTGAAACTCATTTTGATTTTAGTGTTTGAAGTGGGCCCTGGAAGCCAGAGCTACAATCTCTTCTCTTCTTATGATCTCCTCGTTTTCCTGCCTTGGGATATGAAGAGGACTGGGAACGCTGCTGAATGAATCATTTTACTGGATCCCAGCTGTCCCCGCCATTAAATAAGCAAGGAGGGAAAGAGTTACTCTCTGTGTAACTCTCCCTCAGAGTTATAGTAAGGTGAAATCTTTTACATCTAACTTTCCCCCAAACAGATTCTCCACTATGAATCATGACCTACCTCAGAAGGAATTTGGAAAAATGCTTATAAATAACTTAACCCCTGACTGAAATATGTCACCAATTTTCTCTGAGGGAGCAGAAGAGCAACCGCTAAGAGACGAACGATAAATATAAAATGATGATGTCTTAATATGTAGGTCTTTGCCAGTATGACTCTCACAGCCTAGCAAAAACCATATTTCCAATGTTAGGAATGTTAGGATTGATGAAAGTGTAATATTATATTAATACTGCACAAGTAACACAATTTTGAGGGGAGAAAGCACATGAACCAAATAAAAACCACCAGAAGATCATAAAAGATCATGGCCTTTGAGCTTGTGCATGTTGTATAAGGACTTCCCTCCAGGGATATTGTGTTATGAATAGTGTGTTTTATTTATACAACAACCCCACAGAAAACATGTTAAAACATCTCCACCCTTTGCACAACCCCGTGTTTACAAACATGACATACTGTAAATGAGAATTTTTGGTGCCTTGCAGTAATTCTACCGTCTGCCTCTTCGTGCAGGACTGCTTCGAGGTGCTCATCATCTGCTTGAGATCATTGGCATTTGCAGAGTGTGAAGGACTCCTCGGCATGCCCACTTCTACAAAAGCATCACTGCAACCTACAAAGAAGCAAGATTAGCACACATGAAAGGTGCGCTCCCAATGCTGATGGTGTGAGTTAGATGTCTTCTTAATGGACATGTCATGCCCCTGTCAGAGTCTGAATCCAAGGAGAAAGATGAACAACTGACAGGGAGTGGGAGTGTGGCTCCGTTGGCTGTGTGGGAAACTGGGGAAGGGTAAAGTCTGGCTGGGCAGAGCAGGGGAGAGGTCGTACAAGGGAGAGGAAGTTCAGAGGAAGACCCAGGCCCACCCCCTCTTCACCCTAGGGCATGCAGGGAGGAATGGAGAAGGGAGCAACGTGGGTTGCATGGCTTACGGGGGAGGAAAGGGCCCTGATTCCTTTTATTAGCCACACCTGGGAATGAGAGTTTAAAAGAGATGCAAGCTGAGTGCGGTGTCTGCTGAGAACAAATGTGAATTTATCTTGTGTTGATTTTGGTTATCTGCGTTCCTGGCATCCTCCCAACCATGTTGAATTACTGCCGTTCCTTCACGTCTGGAATTCCTTCTCTTGTCCTGCTGGACTAATCTTGCCTTGATTGGACTTATAGTTACAGTTTTTGTTGACCACGTTTTGGACTTGATTCTCTTCAGTCAAAGGCTGTTCCTGGGAGAGTTTTTCTCCAGCCCAGAAGATAACCAGGACATTGGGAGCTAATAAAGGGGCTCCTACTGATTACTCCTACTGATTATCTGACTGTGTTGCCTTGTGCCATGCCCCGGGTCATCACAGGACATGTGGAGAAAACCATCATAAAATTTCCACTTCATTAAAAGAGGAATTGTTGTGATTAAAAGGGCTTGGGGTTCTTTTTCGGCTAGTTTGGGTCATTTCATAACAAACTGTTCACGGCCATCTTTATATCTTAGGATCCAGAAATTTCCTAAAGACTGAAATATCTAGTCTTTATTAACACAGGAACAGACAAAGAATGAGATTTTTTTTTTAAATCATGTGTTGAGTCCCATGTACAAGTATTAAAACACACGGGCCACTATTTTGCTATGAAAGACTACCTCTATTGTTTATAAATGGCATTAACACAAATAAAATTTATAGCTCTGTATATAACTTCCCCTTTGGGGCAGTGTTTCCAGCCCAGTTCAAAGGGAAACCATTCTAGGCTGTTCACATGAACCTCAAAATTCCAAAGTTCCTGTTTTGCGGGGAGGATAAGAAATTTAAAACTTCTGTTCCCTAATTTGCTCTAATCTTGAGTTTCTCACTCCTCTGCATTTGAGAAGTTAGTTTAGAACAAAGCCCTCTTGAAGCATTCAGATTCACCAACGAAGCACTTTTAAACCCAAATTTCATATTTGTATTAGACCGTTATGGTTTGTTATTCTGAATCAAACCACCCAAAAAATTATTTTGGGCCATGCCTGGAAACAGATATTTTAGGAATGTTTTGATCATTTGATCTGGAGCAACTTTTAATCGAGACATATTTTTTATTTTTAGAACAGAAATACTCAGGTGGTCTTCCCACCACCCTTCTTAAACAGCCCAAGAGGTTGCACTGTCCTCCTACAGTGATGATGCAACATCAGAGCACACACCAGGGTAGTTTTGGTTATACCTTCGCCAGAGTTTGTCTTGGCCGTCACTGGTTCAGGGGCATTATGGTTACCAATCGTCCGAGAAGGATCACTGTGGTTTGCACTTAATACATTTTCACCAAGAGCTGTGGCAGAGAATGCAGGATACTTCATAGCTGAGGTCTGGAACAGTATGTTTAACCTAGGTTTAATCATCTTAGACTTTGAAAAAAGAAAGTCCATTAATGACTTTCCTTCATTACTTAACATCTCTTTTTCATGAAAAAACAAAAACAAAAAGCAAACAGGTGATCTTATAATTTTACTCCCACCTCACCTGCCTGTGGATACCCAGTATCTATCTATCTATCTATCTATCTATCTATCTATCTATCTATCTAT